TTCTTTGCACCATCATAACTCATCGTGTTTCAGCTCCTCTGAGGTAACAGATCAGCTGATGAAGACGGTTTGACGCAGCAGTTTACTAAACAGTCTTCAGATGAGATCAGAGTTGAATTTGTTCTTTTAGACAGAGATTCAATACAACATAATCCAAACAAATTAACTCTGTTTCTCGTTGGCTCCACTGAATCATTGTGCTTTCTCAAAAGGTCTAATTGCTGCCATGAAGACATTAAGAAGAATGCTCTGGCATTAGTGTTCAGTGAAATGAGACAGGATTGCTTTTTACTTTGTAAGACATTTGCATCTTTCTTAATGTTTCATAGATGGAGGAAGGAACTAAAGGCTTCCATGAAAAGAATCGTGTGATACATTAGTATTATGTTTTGACCTGTCGTATAGACTAATTAGAAAAATTGGCGTGTCCTTTCAGTTTGAGAACGAAGTCTGTTAGGAAAATACGGAACAATAATATCTTTAATATGAGATTGAGCTTGGTTGTTTTTTCTTGTTCATTTTTTTCTGAATTTAGCTAAAACTGGAGGAAAATGATCTCTCCTCTCATCAGAACTCTGGTAACGTTTTATATCAGCCATTTTTTGGACATCCTGATAATATAGAACATTATAGTCCAGCCAGGAAGCAATGCAGTAAATCCATGGACCAGGTTTCATCATTGTGAAGAAAAAAAATGGAGAAGGGGTTCTCTGCAGAACATTTTGTCTTGTGGGTGGGGACGGCCCAAATCATGATTGGCGGAAGGATGGGGTGCCGTTTGTAAAGTTACACAGTCAAAAATTACTACCAACATTTTTTTTATTTAGTCTTTTATAAGAAAAAAAGAACAGATTTATTTTTCATTCAGTTTTTCACCATATGATTCATACATTTATAAATGTCATAGTTTATAAACTAAATATTTAACTTACAAATTAAATATTTAGTTAAGCTAAATATTTAACTTGTGACTTCAATATTTAGTTTTGAGCTTGTAGGAGATACCCCAACATAACTTCTCATATTTAACCTAATTAATATCGACTAATATTAATATAGTTAATATATGAGGAAACGATTTCTTTTATTAGTTAAATATTAATATTCACCATCACTTTTATTATCATCAAGACTTGACAATGAGTATCGTAGTCAATAAAGTTTATCTAAAAATAAATGATATTTATTTTACAAAACAATTATTTACATACAAACTCATTGGAAGATGGATGAGGGTTTTTACATAAGTTGAATAACCAAKCATTAACTCTTAAAAAGGGTTAAATCTCGTTAATTTGACAACTTATATGACACAACAAGGTTCTTTGATGTTAAATCAACCTGGTTGAGGCAAATTCTTAGTAAGAGTGAAGTAAAAGTTAAGTTTAGGTAAGGAAAAGTAGTTATTATGGAGAGTTAACTAGATTTTATCTTATTAATACTGTAAGAAGCCAGAAGGATGGAGCGATCTTTAATGACACAGCCAGGACTCCGACACTTTGTAATCAACGTTCAGCTTTACCTTTTCAGACGTCAGTCAGGTAAGCTTGGAAGGTGTCCAGATTTCAGACTAGTGAGACCGCTTAGGACCGTCAGGACTGCTCCGGACTCAACTTCAGGAAGTTGATTATCTCTGGGTCGGTCCGGCTTCGTGTCAAGCCGACACTCCTTCGCTTGGCTTCTTCAGATTAAAAATGAAAGCGTTTCTCTGCAGTCTCAACTTCAAAGAGAGTTGCTAGGGGGCCCACGACTTGACAATGTCGTTAGGCTAGTGGGAAGATTAGCTCTTTGGCTCATGAGCTAAAACCTTCGCCACACTGTTCTGCTCTCTGCTGGGAGAGACCAGACAGTTCCCGGGTCTGACCCGCGTCAGACTCCGCTCGAACTGAACTGGCTGTCGTCCGGGACTAGACTGCCGGGCTTTCGCCCGTGTTAGTATAGAAAAAATAAGAGAGGGGAGGTAGAGAGAGTCGTCTCTGGTCGACCTTGGTGTTAACAGGTGTGAATCAGAAAATTAGAGGAGCGTAGAAAGTTCTCATGGGAACATTTTGCCTCCCAGACAAAACAACACCTGTTTTACATGCTCAAAGTTTCTTCTGTTAACTCTCAGCTTTTAGTGAAACTTCTCATATCAACCTCTGTTAGGCATAAGCAGAAAATCATACACTTTTATAGTGAATCAAAACATAGTAAACTAATTTATAGTTATATATATATAGTTGAATTGAAAAGAAAAAATAGAAAAACATAATCACCTTATATTCAAATAATGGTTGATTAACATACACAAAATAAACATTAAAATGATATCTTTTGTGATTTTCTTCTTTCCTCTGGTTATAGTGAGAAGAACATAACTTGTCATTCAGTTAAGCATATAACTTTAACTTTAAAATGATAACTTTAATTAAGAAATAACTTTTGCTTAAGTAAAATATGTAAAGTCAAAACATATAAAGAACATTACTATTTTGTTTATTATCTTGATTATAGAGAATAAAATGAAATAAAATATCCCTTAATTGTTTAAGAAAACATGTTATGACCATAAAAAATAAACAGATTTCTGTTCTTTAAAGGAGGCCTTCCGTGGTCAAGGTCAAAGGCAGGTGGAACGTTTATTCCACCCAGGGTGACCACTACAAGCTAAATATTTAGGTTGCAACTTAAATATATAGCTAGCTACCTAAATATTTAAGTTGCATTTTTATCATGTTATAAATGATATTAATCCTTTATAACATGATATAAACTCCTCCCACCCGCTCCGTGACTCTGACAGGCTACGTGCTGAAATGGGCGTGACCGAAGTGTTAAAGTAACAGAGACCTATTTCATGGCGTTTAGAAACTGTCAAGATGAGAAGTAAATTTTTTTGGAGATTTTTACAAATATATATCTCTTTCATAAGCTGAAAATGTGACATGGTTACTTTATTTTAGTATAAAATTGGAATATAGGCTTGGAAACATAATATCGCCCCTTTAAACGCACATTTTTATCAGTCTTGTCCTTCTCTTTGTCACCACAATGTTCACAACTGTTGCTACGTTTACATGGACATAAGTAACCGGATTAAACGGCCGTTCGGAATAAAAATGTGTCATGTAAACAGCCCGTTCAGATTGTTCTGATCCGATTCAGCTCGATCAGAATGAATTTTTAATCCAAATGAGTCGGGTGGGTTATGCTGATTGATAATCAGAATGACGTGTATGTAAACACTTAATCTGATCGTCTTATTCTGATTGTGGAAAACTGACCTGAATATGCAGGTCTTCAGACTTTCACCTGGTTCTGCTCTTTAGAGGAGGTGGGGCAGCAGCGCTGCGCTGCGCCGCGCAGAACTTTTCCTCCTCGCTCTCTTAACAGATGAAAAAGGAGACAAACAGCAAAAAAAATAATAAATAAAATGTATTGCTTCATCTGCAGCTCAACCGAGGAGTAAGGACGTCTGTATTGTTATTAAAAACTGGCACGAGTCCGTCCTGAGCGCACAGAGGAGCTTTGTTTACGTTTGTAACACAGAAGTAGAGCTGAAAGTTTACAACACTGCGCACGTCCGGACTTTTATTCTGAATAAAAGTCCGGTGCATGTAAACACTTGTCATGATCGGATTGTGTCCATGTAAACAGTACATTCGGTTATTTAATCTGAATACATTTCAGTCTGATCAAGAAATTTTGTGCATGTAAACATAGCTACTGTCTCTGGCCACCATGTGACCGGGCGTCGACTGGTCAGCTGCTGACTGACCTTGCTGGACCCTTTAGTTACACAAACAGAACTCTATCTGCCATGGTTACTGTTGGTCATCTGCTAACGCGAGTGAAGAAAAACGATTGACTGCAGCCGTCCGTGATGTTCACCTGTGAGTTCCAAAACATCAACTCTGAGACCTGGAGTTTAAAAGCTGCAGTTTTAGAGAAAAGGTTGAACTGGTTTCGTGCAAACGGAGCCTCAGACTAGCTGCATTTCTGGTTTGACTTCCTCGTTGTCATTGAACCCACATGTGCAGGACCCGCGGCCATTTTTATCCAATATTGTGAGTCTGGGTTTATGTGGGGGAGCAGCCCTTCACTGCTGCAGTGGATGGATGCTGATTAGCCAAGCTGCCGGGGTTCTTTTGTGCTCCTCAGACTGGAGTATAATTGTTCTTTGTTCAACGTTCGGCATCTCTTTGAAGTCTCTCATTCAATTTATGTCCTTACATTTCCTTTGTGCCTTCTCTCTCTCTCTCTCTCTCTCTCTCTCTCTCTCTCTCTCTCTCTCTCTCTCTCTCTCTCTCCCTCTCCTCACCATTGTATCCCTCCCTCGCTCTTCCCTTCAACCCCCGGGTGTCAGACCCCTCGTCTTATGTAAGATGCACAGCGTGAAGCAGATATTCATGTTCAACTTTATTGATCCGTTTGCACAGGTCTGGCCTGAAGCAGACCTTGACATTTTGAGATAGTCTTTCATCCAACTGCAGGGATCTAAAAGCAACAGGCTGATCAGAAGAAAAGCCTCCTTGCATCGACTTTCTACAAACCCGTCGTTATAGAGACTATTTCTCTAATGTCCCTCCTCTGTATTGATCAGAAAATGTCTTTGACGGCTGCTTTAGTTGCAGCCACTCAGCCGGGATTGTTTCTTTCAGTTGTTGTCATAATTACACAGAAGATCCCTGGTTTTAATGGACTGTGATGCGCTGAGGTGAATTACTTTACGCAGCTACAATAATGTGGTCTGTTTGAATCAGTAGATGTGATATCACCCGTGGACTTCATAAGAGGAATGTCGGTTCTCGTTGCCAACCTCTTTAAGTGCGTAGCTCTGATTGTGAATATTTAAAAAAAAAACGCTGGCAGGCAAGCCTGCATGAGACGGAGAGACTAAAATGTTGTTTGGTGTGTTTTTCTTTTCAGAGACAATAGAGAGTTTAAACGAGGAGATAATGAAACCTGTTGCTAATAAAATGTGCTGCTTCTATGTAAATATATATCTATGTTTGAAACAGATAAAGAACGCAGCAGCTAACGTGCTGAGGGAGACCTGGCTCATCTACAAGCACACCAAGCTGATGAAGAAGATCGACCACTCCAGGGTCCGCAAACACCAGCGCAAGTTCCTGCAGGCTATACATCAGTGAGACCACACCTCCCTGTCACACACACACACACACATCTACACACATCTACACACCTACGAGTCGACTGCACAAACATAGAACTGTTGTTAAGCTGATGAAGCCTTTAGAAATCAGCTGCACTCTCTGTCCGCCCACAGTTTGAATCTGCGCTGATAATCAGATAAAATACACTAATCCCCACACACTCCTCGCACACAAACACACAATTATTCATTATCTGCTGAAGAGTGAGTTCACTCAAAAAAATACACAAAAAAAGCAGTTGTAGAACAGGATGATCAGTGCCATTAGAGGCACTCTGATCATTATATCACCCCGAGCAGGAGAGCGATGAGGGAAAACTCGTTCACATGGCCTGCACACATGTTGCTGCTGGGAAATCGTTCTGACTAGAATCTGAAACGATGCGTCCCTTTAATGTTTCCTGTTCCTTGGGTCTTGTAAAGCTCAAAGATGTGAGGTGTCTTCTGGAGAGCTGAGACTTGTTTATCAGCTGCATAGAAAGGTTAATCCTGACACATCTGGACTGAAGTCACTGAGCCGAGTGAGAGCGTGATTTCAGGGTGACAACATTAAAGGATAGTTCAGATCTTCTGAAGTGGGCTTCTGTAAAAAAGTAATAAACAATCCTGGTCCTTGAAGGCTGCTGTCATGCATGTTTTAGATGGTCCTCTGCTCTGACACACCTGGTTTCAGTGAATGGGTGATTAACAGCTCTCTCGCAGGTTGTTTAACTCTATTTTCCTTTTGTGTATTTCAAGCTGTTGTTAAAGGTAGCTCAACTGTGTTTGCTGCTTGACTGGTTTCACCTGTTCCCCCATGTTTGTCTTGTATGTCTTCTTGAATGGGTGTTTCTTAACTGCCCCCTCCCCCCTTCCCTGAATGTACAGCACCTTGTGAATTTATTTCTGTGAAAGGCGCTATATAAATAAAACTTTACTTACTTACTTACTTACTTACTTACTTACTTACTTACTTACTTACTTACTTACTTACTT